GTCGATATTAAACACTGTTCAACACCGGCTTGGAGTCTGGATGATGATACTGACCGGAGCCAAAGGCAAGGGTCGTTATCAGCATCCAGACTCAACCGGTCTTAAACAAAGTGTAGAATACCGGCCAAGCACATATTTATTTCCATTCATAAATACCTCTTCGGTCAAAAAATCTAAACTTTTGGGCCAAAAGTCAAAGGTAGTTAAAACTTATAGATTTCTTACAATTTTGTCAACAATTTTACTACACTTTTTTTTCTCGAAAACGCCCATCTAGCTATTTCATGTTATGTCCCTTTACATGGGTCAACTGTCGTAGGTCAACCAGCCCTAGTGTCAACATATCTAAACTCAACTTTGATTGGCTGGCCCGTGGGGTCGCATACAATTTGCATGTTCGGATATCAGACATTCGTAGTGAGGCTCTGTAAACATGATCGTTTGATCCTCGGACTACCCAGGAGGCTAGTTTTACCACTCAACTTGAAGCAGCTGATATTTGTATAATAAGAGCTCAATGGTAGTTGCCCCAGTCTAGTCTTGGGAAGGTCTATGTACATTGTTTCAAGTTGAAGCTCATGAGATTGATCAGTTGACATTCATGACATTGAATATTGTATAGATTAGGGATAGGCAATGTGGCAATATTTATGAGGTTGGTACCTAGACAGGCTTGTAGGGGCATCAAGGTCTGCATATGCAAACGCGCCCCCCCCCCCCCCCCCCCACACACACACAAGAAATAAAATCCACATTTTGCTGAATATTTTTGTGAAGTAATTTGGCTCATCTATTACTTTCACCACTGCCTTTAAAAGATTACCTGCAACCATGATGCTTCAACTGAATAAAAATGACATAATAGTGCCATCCAGAGACTAATGTAATCAAGCCCCCCCCCCCTTCCTTGAGTTTGTCAAACTGCAAGTCTTACCCAATTATATGTTGGTCTGGTGTCTTTACCCCCCCCCCCCCCCCCTCGTGCATACATGCCTGGTATTGGCTCAACTGTGGCTTCTATTAGTGATTTCTTGATTGGTCAAAACATTCAACACGGTGGCACTGTGTGTAACAAACTAACAGACATGTATGTTGTACATATGTGCTTATCTTCAACCAAATTTGAATTCTTATACTGATAGGTTGATACATGAAACAGGCATGCAACTCAAAATTTACAAGAAAAGGAGGAAATTCCAACCACACAAGCCTTTGTACAGTATTTTTCAAAAAATTGTAATGGCATTCATGAGAAGAAAAGAAAGAAGGAAATCAGCAGATCCAAGGAAAAATTGCATGCCTGATGGCAACAACAGTGTTATTATCCCATAATGGGCCACACTGCACCACACAACGCAAGACGCTTGCTGCACGTACGTATGTGGTAGATGAAAGCTGAAACGTGACGACAGCGTACACGTAACTGTGCATGAAGTGTGCTGGAAGATGAATTGTTAAACCCACTCACACTCATGGAACACACAAAATAAAGCGCTTGAATGCCAATCACAAATTTGTTCTGAAAGCTTGCATAGATCCTTTTAATATTCTACATTTAATTCCAAAATCCTTCACCATAAAAATAAAGTCCTTAAAATAGCCAACTTATTTTAAAAAGTATTTCACTGCAAAAATTCCAAAAGATATTAACAGTTGCATAAAATAATCTCTCTGTTCAATCCTTACTGCCAAGCATATCAATAGGGCTCACTCAATGACGGTCATCTCTTGATTGCTTATTTTACGCAATCAAGCACGCATTGCGCAGTGTTAAAAATGTTCCAAACACACGCGCTTCTTGCTTGAAATGTGTTTGAAATACGACACAGCCGATGTGCGTTATTCAGTTGATGCTCAAAATGTTGATGCATGTGGCTGGTCTGTAGGAAATGACGTCATTTGAATGAGACCTATTGATATTGGACACCAATATAAGATTGTATGGTAGAATACATGTGACTTCATTGCATACACTACTTTGTACATCTCTCCTACATTAGAACAACATGCAGGACATGACCCCAATACATGTACTTTTTGTGCATAGTTAATTGGAATAACAAGCTTGACACAAATGTTTGGAACAACAAATGGGTATTGAAGGACAACTTGCAAACTAGATGGTGAGAAGAGGGCACTATTTACCATTCTGAAATGAACAGGACTGTTCATGTAGTCATCGAGGACAAAACGTGGACATCTGCGTTTCTGCTGTCAGAATAGCAGATTGAGTATTTTTTGAATGGTTCATTTTGTTCTGCTTTCCCGCCTTTGTGCTACCATAAATGCAGAATTTACTGTTTAATAAAATCCACTGTAGTGCTTTTATGCTACCTGAAATGCAGATTTTGCTTTTCCTCCCTTGCTGGAGGGAGAAAAAGTGGACATCTGCTTTTCTCTTGTTCAAAAATCAGATCAAACCGTTTCTGACGTTTCCATTTCCTGCTTTTGTGCTACCCAAAATGTATATTTTTGTTTTTTGCTTTTCTCATTTCTTAGAACCAGAAAAGCAAAACGAACCTTTGGTAACTACCATTTGTATTCTGCTTTTGGTTAAAAGGAAAATGAAACGGTGCTTCTGAGAAAAATAAGCACCGTTTCATTTTTCTTTGAGTGTAGGTTAACAGGGTTTTTTAGGCGTTCCCCCTTAAAGAGCTTCCACATCACAAAGTTACAAAATGAAAAATGTATTGTCGGAAAATGGCCATACTTCTGTTATCTGCTCTTCTGACAGCAGAAAAGCGATGTCCACTTTGTGTCCTCCTTGGGCCTTACCATAGTGTACCCAAAGTATCGCATTTGAGAAGTCTTTGCTGTGCGCAGTAAACCCATATGTGAGCTGCACAAGCATTACTTCAATAACATCTGAACATACTGGCATGCAATTTCAGTAGTTATTGCCTCCATTTTAAACAGATTCAATTTCAAAACATTGACTATTTTGGCAGTATACATTGCCCCCACAATATAATGGAGCCTTTTCATGTCAAGGTTCCTGTGAGATAACAAATACAACAAACTCTCTCCAGTTTTAAGTAACCAAAGTAACTGTACATGTGGGCATTGTTATGTTAGTACTGTTACTATTCTACGCAGAACAACCGGCCATTCGTACTAAAGTGACAAAGTGACATCAGTTCTCACGTAGCACATGAACAAAAAGGAGCCTTTTTCTCTAAATGTTTGAAATCGTTCACAAGAACAGCGAATACAGCAGCTGAACTATCAGCATGCTAGCATCGGTGGATTTATAGGATCTCCTCCAACTGTTTCTAATCTTAAGTTGTCAGACAAGTCAATTATTAATAACATCAGACATACATGCACTGTTCTTGTGAATATCAGATTTTTGACCCAGGGTGGCAAAAAGGTTCACTTTTTCTATTCACTTGGCACAATAAAATGTTTATGCATAGGCCTTGGTGGGAAAGACAATAGCAACGAAGTCCTATGTCCAATTTGATTGAAAGTTTGATAAGGTTTCCCTGTATTCTCAAGATGTACAGTATCCACTCAGCTATAACTTCAACAGGTAAGTTGTTATGGATCTAACTTAAGATTTGGAGCAATTTTGTTTTTGCTTCAAAAAAAAAAACCCAAAAGGCACAAATATCACAAGATCCTATGCATCTTCAAACAGAGAATGAGGCTTCCCAAAGTTATAAGTCATTTGATCAAATGTGGAGACACAGTGAGGGGTGATTGTGTGTATTACTAGAGATTCCTGAGGTCTGTTTCCACGCCATAGATCAGAGCCTTGAGTTGAAGTAGCTCACTCTGCATCTTCTTTGATCTCTTAGCTGTCTGATGAATATTATGCAGCATGAACATATCACCATCTTCCCCAACACCCACTGTCACCTGTTCAGCATGGCAACAAAACAAGAAGGGTTTACATTACAAAGCACTGACAATGATCCAGGGCTAGGGATGTAGTTGATTCCATTCACAAGTCCACCACAAGTCCAGACACAAGTAATTCGTGAGTCCATCACAAGTCCAGGCACAAGATACACTGGATGCCTTTGTCAAAGCTCATTTGAATAGCTTGTGAGTTAAATTGGTGTTGGAGGACTTGTGGTGGACTTGCAGGGACTAGTGATGGACTCGACTACATCCCTGCAATGATGTCCTTGCAATCTTGATTTCAGTGACAACATCATTATGGACTAAGATGACATAACATCTCACTAACAGAATCTGCTTCTTGATTTAGTCAAGAGCACGTTTCATGGAATGCACCATTTTACTTTATATAATCGACATACAGATCGTTGTCATTTGATTGGTGGAACTCACATCATGTGGCATTCGTTATTGCTCCCATTCACGCCGGGGCTCAAAAAGTCCCATTCGCCTATGGGGAATGGGAAATACTATTGAACAGTTAGGATCATTCTTGTTCCATGACGCAGTTGTATGCAAATGCATGCTGGTGTGCGCGTTTAGCATTGCACGTAGCCAGCGTTGGGTTCAAACATTTTCGTGAAGGGGTGGTTTGGAAGAGAAAAATACATTTTCAACCAATTTTATATTGAAATAAAAGTTCAAATATCAAATGACAAGGATCTATGTGTCAGTTATATAAAACAAATATAAAAGTTCGACATGTTTTTGTACATGGTGGAAGTGTGGCCTTTATTTATGGAGGTAGTCCAGTAAAATGGCCACATATGGGGCTAAGCATGACCCAGCCTTTGGGGTACTTGTTCGCAGAGTCCGCACCACGATCTGCATGAACTGCACTATAGCTGACCAACATAGGAAAGTAGAAAACAGCAACGGACAAATGCAAACTAACAACATGTGGCTGCCTCAGGGCTCACTTGTGCCCAGAGGAGTTTCGGACTACTAGTTCTCAAACTTATGAGAAAAGGACTCCCAAGTGACTGGTATTCGCAATCAATCCAGGAACCACACACTAAACACAATGAAGCCACTTGACAACATGGTGGTGATTGCTGATAGTAGATTGAGTAGATTGAGATAACAATCTGCAATTTAATAAAGCAGAAAAAACACTAATAAGAAAACTATAATAAAAGTACATGGAAAAGTCTAATCTATTAAACATGGCAAGTTGAGTCCAAAAATGTGAAGTCTGATTTGTCAAATCTAAACACTATTTGCAGTTCAATCTGTTTTTTGCTGAATAAATAATCAACTGTAAAATCTCAGAAAATCCACTGAATTCTGTCTCTAAACTTATTAAAAGTAACTCATAAAATCAAGGAAAATGCTTCTTACCAAAATGGGGTCTTTCAAGGTCCACAAAGAGTGAATAAAGTGATGAAACTTGAAGAACTAAATCGCAATGAGTATGAAAACACTTGTCTCTGAAATCACATGGTCAGTAAATATGGCTGCCCATTGTTTATGTGGCAAGATTATGTGGTACTTGTACCCACACAAGGTCTCTGTATGCACATAGGAAGTGCACAAGGTCACTCTGGTGGTGGGAAGGAGGCTACTTAATGTAACACATAAGTGGGCTCTTTCACTATTATAAGGTGAACATTAACTGTAGGCTCTTTCACTAAATATGAAGTAATACTCTAAAAATGGAATTCTAAATTTAAACTATGAAAAACTTGTTCAGAAAATTAATAAACTTAAGACAAACTCACTGCACAGCTGCTGCAGTGACATGGCTCCTCTAACTGCATCTCGCAGTTAACAAACTAAAATCAAACCTGAACTTCAAAGATTAATGTCCATGAAAATGTTCCTTCATCTTGGTGGACGTCTTGTCTCGCACGCACTGCTCCTCAGATGCGGACTAGTGTTGGCTCGTTAAATTGGTATCTACCTACTAATGAGTAACAAGAACAGTTAAAATGTAAAGTTCATAAACTAAATAGATTGTCGTCAGCAGTGGGTCTCTTCTGGCAGGATCTTCAGTTTGGCTCTTCGGTGGGGACTTCTCTGGTCTCTTGAGCTTCAGGCTTCTCTGCGGGTACCAACAGGACAAGCTTGTGTACTGGTCTGTCAAGGAGTGATGGAGAGTGTTGCCGTCTGCCAAGGTTGTCTCGTGTGCCATCGGCCATCAAGAGCTTCACTGACCTGACTCTTCCGTCATTGCTCGGGTAGGTCTCCACTACGCGTCCCAGTGGCCACTGGTTCCTGGTCTGTTCACCTTCCTTGGAGATCACGACATCACCTACTTGTAGATCTCTTACTGGATTGACCCACTTTTTGCGCTCTTGAAGATGGTGCAGAAACTCCTTTCTCCATCTCACCCAAAACTCATTGGTCAAGTACTGGACACGTCTCCACCATTTGCGGGCATAGACATCTTCCTTCTGGAACTTTCCAGGCGGAGGCAGAACCACCTTGGGTTTCATGGTGAACAGATGATTGGGTGTCAATGGCTCTGGTGCGTCTGATGAGCAGAGATAGTCTGTCGTTAGAGGTCGTGAATTGATGATGCCTTCTACCTCAGTCATGAAGGTCCTGAAACATTCATCATCCAGTTGTGTCGTGGTTTTAAGAAGAAGACCCTCTAGTGCACGGCGTACTGTACCTATCTGTCTCTCCCACACGCCTCCCATGTGACTGGCATGCGGTGTGTTCAGCTTGAAGGGAATCCAGTCACAGTTGCTCTCTAACAGGTACTGGTGGACTCTGTCCTGCTCCATCTCAGCTAGCGCTTCTCTCAGCTCACTCCGAGCACCGATGAATGTTGTACCTTGGTCTGAACGCAGTTGACGTACAGGTCCTCTCCTGCTCTGGAATCTTGTAAGGGCATTGATGAAAGAACTTGCCGTTAAGGAATTTGCTGTCTCTAGATGAACACCTCTAGACGCCATACATGTGAACAGGACACCATAACGTTTCACTTGACTCCTACGCTCTTTCACCAAAAATGGACCGAAGTAGTCCACAGCGCAATAGGAAAATGGGGGCGCTGGCTCTAGTCGATCTACGGGTAGGTCAGACATCTTCTGTCGCTGCAGCGATCCACGCAGTTTGCGGCAGGTCACACATCTTGAGATGTAGTTGGACACAGCTGATGAACCACCAATTACCCAGTACCCTCTCTGACGTAGCTCGTTGTGTGTCATTCCTCTGCCCATGTGATTCACCTTCTCATGAATATGGCGAATCAACAACTGGGTGACATGACCTTTGTGAGGGAGAACGGCTGGATGCTTAGCTTCAATTGGAAGATTAGATCTGGCAATACGGCCACCCACTCGGATGATGCCATCGACATCTAGAAAGGGATCTAGCCGGTACAGACAACTTGTCTTCTTCAGGTAGTCATTTCTCACCCTTGCAGTCTTTCCATCGGTGACTTGCCCGATTACACCAAGTTCTTGTAGGGCCTGTAACTCGACACTGAAATGTTCATGCTGAACATTTTTGATGATTTCCATCTCTCCATTCTGTAGTTCTGCCACAGTGATTGCTTGCTTCGCAGGAGTGGAACAAACTTTCCTTTCACAAGGTTTCTTCACTACTCTGTTCCTCAACTTTGTCTTCAACCTCAGACAAAGAGCGACTGCCCTGCAAGCTCTATTCCAGGATGAAAAGCAATCAAGTCGGCTCACTTCGAAGTGATGATGTCGTGCGTTGTTCTCAGCTGTTGTCACGAAAGCTGAGACTCTTTTCACATCTGGGTCTGATTCACTCAGTGGTGCAACTACGGCTGGCTGGGGTTGAAAGGGGCCATCCTTCTGCAAGAAATCTGGACCGGATAACCAGCAGGACTTCTCTATAAGTTCCTTTGCTGTCAGACCACGTGATGCTTCGTCAGCAGGATTTTCTTTGGTGTCTACGTACATCCATCTCTCTGGGTTAGTCAGACTTCTGATTTGCTGCACTCTGTTAGCAACATAGACATGGAATCGTCTTGCTTCATTGTTTATGTATCCCAAAACAATCTTGCTGTCTGTCCAGTAATATTCGTGGAGCATCTCGTAACATAGCTCTCGTCGCAGGAATTCACTCACAGTTGCTGAGACAGTTGCTGCTGCAAGTTCTAGCCGGGGGATGGTGACGAGCTTCAGAGGGGCCACTCTGGACTTACCGACTACAAAGGAACAATGTGCCTTATTGTTCTCATCGACTAGTCGCAGGTAGGAACACTGACCATAACCATCTTGGCTTGCATCGGAAAAATGATGCAATTCAACTGCTGTCACAGTTCCAAAATCCTTGGGCTTAAAACATCGCTGGATTTGGATCTTCTCTAAGCCGAGAACCTCTAAACGCCATTTCTCCCACTCAGGTTGTAGCATCTCTGGCACTGGACTGTCCCAATCAAGTTTGTCGCGACACATCTGCTGCAAAATTCTCTTCCCTCTGAGGGTTACTGGAGCCACATAGCCATTTGGGTCATAGATCGAACTTACAGTTGAAAGTATGCCTCGTCTTGTGAATGGTCTGTCTTTCAACTCAATATGGAACTGAAAGGTGTCACTCTCGACACACCAAGTGACGCCCAGGGCTCTTTCCATTGGTAGTACATCAACCTTCAGATCTAGTTCCCTTGTACCACTGGCTCGCTCTTCTGCTGGGAATTTTTCCAACAGCTCTCTTTTGTTGGAGATGATTTTGTGCAGTTTCAACCCAGCTTTTCCACACAGATTCTGACTGGCTTTGATCAGTAATGATGCTCTTTCCACTGTGGGTAGTGACTTCAGTCCATCGTCTACGTAGAAATCATTACGAATGAAGTTTGCTGCCTCTGCACCAAACTCATCCTCTCCGTCATCTGCTGCTCTCTTCAGCCCGAAGTTGGCACAGCCTGGTGAGCTAGCGGCCCCAAACACGTGAACTTTCATTCTGTATTCGACCACTGGCTTCTCTGGATCACCATTTTCCCACCATAGGAATCGCAGCAGGTCACGGTACTTCTCTTCTACATAGAACTGATGGAACATGCTCTTCACGTCAACCATAAAGGCCACTTCCTCTTTCCTGAATCTACACAGAACACCGAGAAGACCATTAGTCAAGTCAGGACCTTGAAGGAGATGGTCGTTGAGTGAAACGCCTCCATATTTGGCTGAACAGTCGAACACCACTCTTATCTTGTCCGGCTTTTTGGGGTGATAGACTCCGGTGTGCGGCACATAGTTTACCTTTCCCTCATCAACTTCCAGTTGGTCTAGGGGGACTCTCTCTGCAGACTTTGGGATAACATCTTTCATGAACTCCCTGTAGTCTTCACGAAACTTCACATTCTTTCGGAATCTGGCGGACAGCTGATTCCATCTCTTGACTGCAAGTTGGCGGTTGTTAGGCAGGGTCGCAGCGTCAGACTTCAGTGGTAGTGGCATTTCGTAGTGGCCATCGGATGCTTTCTTTATTCCTTTTTCCATCACGCTCAGGAACTTCTCGTCTTCTACTGAGTATGGCTTCCCCTGATGATTCTCGACAAAGTCGGATTCCAACACCTTGAGAACTTTCTCTGGGTTTAAGACTTCTTTCACCCTCGTACCATAGACGAAGTGTTGGTAGCTTTGTGGTTCAGCAGCAACCACTTTGTTGCATACTGCAGGTTGGTCATCGGTTTGTCGTGCAGCCTTGCACACGTTCCCAATTACTCCCCAGCCTAGTAGTGACCTCTGGCCGTAAGGGTCATCCTCTCCACCGGCGATGATTTCCCTGGGTCGAACTACTCTGGGACAATTGCTCCCGATGAGAAGAGATATTTGCAGGGTTGGATCATAGGGCATGAGTTTATCTGCCAGAGACTTCAGGTGGGGCCATTGATGCACAACCGCAGGTTTCGGTATCTGGGATTTCTTGGCTGGAACGCTGTCCCGCTTGAAGCAGACTGGAAGTTGAACAGTGTGCTCTCTATTGACATCAAGCACTTCAAGCCCGGATATGCGACTGCTGGTGATTTGCACATTTTGCTCTTGCATTGTACTGAGTAGTAACTGCGTCTCTGGTCCCTGCAGGTTCATCCTTTCACACAAACTCTTTGATACGAAGCAACTGTTGGATTGTTCGTCCAAGATGGCATATTCGAGGAACTCCCTCGCTGGATCACTCTCACTACGAACCAACACTGGTATAATCATGGAGTGGTCACCTTCTCCTTCTTGGTCTGGTTGGGAACACACTTGAATACAGTTGGACATTCCCTCATCTCGTTTGGGGTGCACAGCAATGACTTCTTTGGGTGGGGATGAATTGGTTGGGACTTTGTCAGCTGGTTGTTTACTTGCCGCTGCTGACTGGGGGTTACTTGAAGCAGTTTCTTCTGGCCGTCTCTGTTGGAAGTTGCGATGGAGACAGGTCAAATGGGCACCAGCGCAGATCCGACAAACTTTTTTGTCATTACACTCTCTCACTTGATGATCACTGGAACGTGCACAGCCCATGCACAGTCTCTTCTTGAAGAAGAAATCCTTTCGCTCAGCGAAAGGCTTGCGCAGAAAGCGCTCACACTCGTCCAGGAGATGACGCTTATTGCAGAAGAGACAACTCTTGTCACTGGACAACTGCACTCTGCTTGTTGGTTCACCTCGACTGGTACTAGTCGCAAAAACACTGGTGTTCTTTTTCGGAGCACTTCCTCCATTTGAACGTTGTTTGTCCTGACTTCGAACCACGCTCTGCAATTCAGGAATGTTTGCCCTGTCTGCTGCAATCTTCACGAGTTTGACAAACTCGCTGAATGGGGGGAAGGAATCCTGACCACGGATCTGTCTCCAATAGTCAATCTTGTCTCGCCACTTTGTCTCAAGGTTGAATGGCAGTTTCTCGACTAGACGAGCATTCTCACTGGCGTAGTCCAGCACTCCAAGGCTTGCTGTGGTTGCTCGTGCTGCCTCTACTTTCCCCAGAAAATCAGAGAAATCTCTCAAGCCTGCTGCATCCCTCGGCGTTAACCTCGGCCACTGACGGAGTTTGCTTATGAAAGCAGTGCTCACTACACTACTGTTTCCGTACCTCTCGTTCAATACTTTTCTTGCTTGCGTGTAGGCCTCTTCAGTGCCGATGAGCATGTAGTGCTCCACTAGGTGCTTTGGTTTTCCCGTCACATATTGATTGAGGTAGTTAAGCTTGGTGTCGGCGTCAAGGGGTTGGCTGTCGATAAGGGAATTGAAGGAGTTCCGCCACAGGGGGTACTGTAGTGGATCACCGTTGAATTGGGGGACGGCTATCTTTGGTAGCTGGCTAGATGCAACAAGGCGTTTGTTTACATCATGCTGTTGTCTACTGGACTCGGCCAACTGTGTAATGCACTTCTCAAGTGCCGACGACATCGTCATCCGTCCTCCTTCACTTTGGTGATGAGAATGATGTACACTGGACTGTTCATCAGATCTGTTCTGATTGGCTGATGTAACCATGGCAACTGGTTGGAGTGACGCATTGTCCACATATGCGCTTTCACTTTGGGGCACAGATGGACACAGTGGAGGGGGGTGATCACTTTGATGCGAGTTGAGGAATCTCTGCATATGTTCATGTTTGTCGGCGGGGATGCCGGACAGCTCTGATGATATTGAACTGTTGTCATCCCGCTCCAGCGATGAGTACACCTGCATCACAGCTCGGGTTTCGGCCAATTTCCTCTCTATTTCAAGTTGTTCTAACTTTTTGTCTCTCTCGATCTTCATTTCCTCCACTTTCTTTGCCGCTTCCAACTCCCGGAGTTTCAGCTGTTTTTCTTTCTCTGCAAAGTCTAGCTGGACCTGCAGAGCAGCCGCTGTTTTCGCTAGTTCCAGCTTTTCTTCCTGATGCCGTGCATATGATGATGTAACGGACACGGCATGACTGGCTCGACTGGAACTCTTGCTTGACTTGTAAGACGACACATGACCAGCGTGACTTGCTGCTCGACCGGCGTTACTCTTCTTTGACTTGTCAAACTTATGACTAGAAGACGACTGGATTGGTAACGACATGACGTGGGTTTATTCACTCTGCATGCTCTGGAACGACTGGACTTTGGTTGTGACTTTGATTGTCCTTTGATTGTTATTGTGGCTGCCTCAGGGCTCACTTGTGCCCAGAGGAGTTTCGGACTACTAGTTCTCAAACTTATGAGAAAAGGACTCCCAAGTGACTGGTATTCGCAATCAATCCAGGAACCACACACTAAACACAATGAAGCCACTTGACAACATGGTGGTGATTGCTGATAGTAGATTGAGTAGATTGAGATAACAATCTGCAATTTAATAAAGCAGAAAAAACACTAATAAGAAAACTATAATAAAAGTACATGGAAAAGTCTAATCTATTAAACATGGCAAGTTGAGTCCAAAAATGTGAAGTCTGATTTGTCAAATCTAAACACTATTTGCAGTTCAATCTGTTTTTTGCTGAATAAATAATCAACTGTAAAATCTCAGAAAATCCACTGAATTCTGTCTCTAAACTTATTAAAAGTAACTCATAAAATCAAGGAAAATGCTTCTTACCAAAATGGGGTCTTTCAAGGTCCACAAAGAGTGAATAAAGTGATGAAACTTGAAGAACTAAATCGCAATGAGTATGAAAACACTTGTCTCTGAAATCACATGGTCAGTAAATATGGCTGCCCATTGTTTATGTGGCAAGATTATGTGGTACTTGTACCCACACAAGGTCTCTGTATGCACATAGGAAGTGCACAAGGTCACTCTGGTGGTGGGAAGGAGGCTACTTAATGTAACACATAAGTGGGCTCTTTCACTATTATAAGGTGAACATTAACTGTAGGCTCTTTCACTAAATATGAAGTAATACTCTAAAAATGGAATTCTAAATTTAAACTATGAAAAACTTGTTCAGAAAATTAATAAACTTAAGACAAACTCACTGCACAGCTGCTGCAGTGACACAACATGACTGACATGAACAGACAATACTCCACCTTGTAGAGTTGCTTCTCAACATCCTTGAGTTGGTTTCTCAAGATTCGGGTATCATTCTTGAAACCTTCTATCTCCAGATTCCGTCGCTTCTCCATGGCCTCATACCGCTGGTTCATCAGGTGTAAACGCTTAGCAAGCTTTTCCGTCTTATCCTGTGGATAAATAACCACAAGAATGAATGGTACTAGAAACAGGTTTCGGCAATAGATCAGAAATGGCTTAAACTTTGCATGAGCAGTTGGTACTGTTTGAATATCAGAGTTTATTTTGTTCACTTTTCGATAGCAATCAGAACAATCCACTGAAGGGAATTTGAAGTCGGAATTCTATTTTTGATACATTTTGGTACCAACAAAATAGGATTACATAATAATCCTGTTTTAATCCTAAAAATGTGATAAATAGTGATATGACAGTATTCTACCAATACACACACACAAATATGTACTCATGCCATCAGTTTCTGTCATAAGTAAGTATAGGTCATGAAAAACTGACTGGACCTTTTTTTTTACGTTTTGCGTAATTTGTTTCGCTTCAGTGACTTCTAATATTTCAGCCTTCGAAAATGTCCTTCCGTTACCGAAAAAATACATATTTTTAATTTATTTTCAAAACTTGCAGTATGAATGCAATGAAAGTTATTGTGCAAAGCAAGTTTAGGTAGGCCTTCAATATGACATTATAACTGACACTGCTGTACGTATCGTTTTTTAATTACAATTAATTAAATCCCGTCCTTCCGTTACCAAATTGGTAACGGAAGGACGGTAACGGAAGGACAAATGTTATTTTTATCAAATGTAACGACATTTGTGCTCATGTTTGAAAAATGAAAATCACTGCAACTACATGCATGTATAATGCGCATTGAAAGGACATTCATGTGACCCACCTTCACAAAGCTGGTATGAGCAGGGCAAGGTGTTCATTACAAAGGATGGCACAGGCATATGTATAACATGTACATGTACAATGTACATGTATGACAATGTACCGGTACTCATACATGTATGGAGTTGTTGCAGAAAATCAAATCATTAAGTTGCTGCTATCACCATTCATGGACAATAGAGAAAGATACAATTTCTGTGAAGCCATTCCAGAAGCAAATTAAGTAAAAAATGAGATGGCAGAAAGTACCAGTGCTATTGGGCACTTTCATACAATTTACATGTGTAAGACATGTGAGGTGCAATTTTTGACAAATTAAGTTAACAACTTCAGGCTGGATGTTTATAAGATAATTATTGTTAATACTCTAAATCATTAAAATTTGATTTCAAACACTGAATTTAGAGTTCAATTAAAAGCAACACCTAAAACATTTTTTAAAGCACAATGATTCTGAAGCCATCAGTTCTACCTGTAGATGTTTTTAATGTACATGTAAGCTGGTCGCCCCTGCCCCCCCCCCCACCCTTTAGGTAAACCACTGAACCTACTGGTGTTATTATTAAAAGTTGTTGGTGAACATGTAACAAATATACTCAAGTGCTCAAATACTGTGTATTTAAAACTTTTAAGGATTAAGGTGATGGGTTTGAAGTCCATTTCTGTAGTTGTCTTGTGTTCGTGAATTATGTGTTTTTGGTTGTTTTCATTTTTCATTTGTTATCATTAATTAGCAGGCTTCTATCTTTATCTCAATAGTTTCTTGGGTATAATTATTTATGCCAGGTCTGCATATTGTTGATTTCACATTCAGTTACACATTTCAGCAATTTATTTCACTTGTATAATTAGTGTAAATTCACATTTTATTCATGCTATAATTGAGTAAACCTTTTGTCCTTCCGTTACCGTCCTTCCGCTACCAAATTATAATCCACTTAAGACATTGTAATTATATCACCGAAACACTTAAAGTCAAATGAAAGGTGGTATAGTATAGATAAAGCCGCAGGGATTCCATTTCCTACCTTTGAAATATAATTGCCCCATAAAATTCACAGAGTTTATGCAAAACGCGTGTAAGTTGGAAAACCCTCGTCCGTTTTACCGTCCTTCCGTTACCGACCTCATTAATATTCATAATTCATTAACGAGAGGTATGCATGCCCCCCAAAAGTGTGGAAATTGAAGGTAGCATTATAGCAATACCATTGTGACATTTGCTTGCTGTAACTAATAACAGTGGCTGTGATAGGCACATTTGAAATTTTGTTTAATGAGCGAAAACGTCCTTCCGTTACCGTGGAATTGCCCAAAAGCAGTAAAAAATTCTGAGCTCTCCATAGGTTTGTGCACAAAAATGGACGCACCCAGCAGTGTACATTCTGTACAGTAAGTTAAGTCTCTAGTCATTTTAAGCTACAGTCCATCATTTGCAGCTATCCAAAAAGTAACTGATGTATTTATCTTGAAAAACATACTTGGTTGGTTGACAGTACTAAATTCTCTCTGAAATTATTCTTTCTGACATGCTGTCGTTTTGAAGAAATCAACAAAAGAAGGTCTTCAGACGCATCGTTGGAAATTTCTGTTAGTAGTTCGCTTTTTTATTTGGCGAAGCACGCACAAGCGTTGACACGATGCAAACGTGCGCGCAGTTGCCTTAATTCATCGTATCAGTGCATGACACCGCGTAGCTGCAATCGGCTCAATGAGAATGTGTCTCAATTCAGGCCCAATTCAAAACATGATTCAGCAACATGATTCAGCAACTTTTATTTGAAATCGAGATCCGCAGGCCCGGTTCTGTGTTTTTTTTGTCCCGTTCTGTTCACAAACTCATCTATGTTTCAAGTCACAGACCATACAGGGATGAAACTGGCCTATGGGGAAAAAATCTGAAAATAGGCCGGCCAAAATTCTGTGTCCGAAATCTGGGCTGCGCCGCAAGTACACATACGTACTATATGTACAATAAACTTCGTGTTCAATTTCTGGACATCGCCTCCTTTTTTTCTTTTACATGTACATGTAGATCCAAATGAAATTTTACGATGTGAAAAATGTTCAGTGTTTCCATAAGATTAAAAAGCCTGAATTAGGGTTGGAGTTTCTGACTCGTAATTAAAGAAATTCACATCTTACTTGAGACACGGAGAAAGTCAAGGAAAAAGTCCAAGACAACAAGTCCACTAACGCATGGTAGGTGGAACTGGAAAAAGTTTGGCATTAGGCCTGCCGTCTTTTTCGTACAACAACTGCCGGTGAAATTTGTCTTCTATGCTCTCCTCGCCTTCCTCAAGATTTTGCATGGAAGAGATCGTCAGACTAAAACCACCACGTTGCAATCATTCAGTATCATTTGTACAACACTGAATAAAGTAGATCTGCCAAAGTCCAAAATGCTCCTTATGTGCGATTACCCCAATAGTTTGATTGCAGCTTTTGAGGGGGCCATTCAGTTGTGACTTTGTAACAAGATTCTTTTGTTTTGCTAACTTTTGAGAAAAAAAATGATTTCTGAATGGAAAAGTTAGTTCTTTTTTTAAAGCAATTCAAACGAATTTGCTTGAAAATGATCATTATTGTATTGTATTTAACTTGAAATGATTTCTTTGTGCAGGAAGCTTCTCTATAATGCCCACCTCAATTTCCAAGTTCTGTGTTTGTCTCTCTTCCAGTGCATGATCTGAGATGACTAAGACGTCATCTTTGGAGACATCTAGTTGTTCCTTACATCGATCCAGCTCCTGTAGTAGACGGTCCTTCTCTACCATCCAGACTCGCTCCTGAGATCGTCCTTCATACTTCAGCTCTAGATAGTCCTTAGTGCTGTCATACAACATCTGCTGTGTACGATGTAACCTATTAACAGAAGAATGTCCATGACAAGTGATGTATGATGGTTGAACAAGGTAGCTGAATAAAGGATACACATTCTACTTTTGTTTAAAGAACGGTAAGTGTCTTATTAGTCATTCATAAGATTTCATTTCATTTTGCGTCGGGGTGATGTAAATCAAATTAGGTTTTGCCCTTCACCGACATATAAACACTGTATACTCTCTGTGTTACCTCCCGAGTGAAAGTTGAAAAAAATCACTCCGGTCAAACCCATGACCCTCCTGCTTTCTAGTGCAGATGTCTTACCACTTGACCACCGAGCTAACGGGATCAGTTGGCTGGTTCGAATCTGATGTACATAGCAGCGGGTACTACATTAACTATTCATAAGATGGTAAGACATCTGCAATAGAAAGCAGGAGGTCGTGGGTTCGAGTCCCACCGGAGTGATTTTTTTCCAACTTTCACTCGGGAGGAAACACACTGAGAATACAGTGTTTATACATCGGTGATGGACAAAACCTAATTTGGTTTTATTAGTCAATTGACTCATGTAATTTCAGCAAGCACACACTGCATATGCCTCCATGTTATTTTGGCAAGATGTGTTGCCAACATACTAGTGTGGAAAGACTGTGGTTTCTAAAATAACTAAGATCAAAGTGCTTTACATTATTATTACCCCTGATCATTGGGCCAATGAAACATTGCAAATACAATCTCAGCTTCCTGTGGAATATGGATTTTTATTCACGAGAAAGTCATTTTAGTCATGTTCCCTGACAGTATTTTATAAACTATTGAATAGGATGGTGCCAGACTTTTTTTGCATTCTAGCCTCACTTTCAATTTTTATTTTAAATGTGGCTTAAAAACATTAGGGTATGTTTAACAACAAATTTAAATTTTCATTAAAGCAGACTGGTATTAATTTGTAATTAATTTTATGTCACTGCTTTAATTTCTCTTTGCAAGTTCCAAATATGAAGATTTTACCTCGCTTTCAATTTAATATAGTCGACTCCTGAATAAAGCCCATACAGCTCGGTGTAGTCATTTCGACGCAAGGTAGCTAAAATCAATCACAATTGCGATCTCTGTTCTCACAGGTACCCATTTATTCCTGGGTGGGGCGAAGCAATGAGTGACAAAGTGTCTTGCCAAAGGGAACATGCACCATAACCCCAGGCTGGACTCGAACCCACAACCTGTAGAATGAGACCAGGGCAC